ACCCAGCATTCTCCCCATTTTTTCATAAAATGCTCCAACACATGCCACAGCAGCCCTATTAGAAAACAGAGAAAAAGAATACACATATTAATGTGTATCACTAATCCAAGTGAAAACAAATAGTTAAACAGAAATGTATGTTCTAATCAACACTGATGAATAAAAATCTATTTGCTATGCACTACTTATACTGGCTGTTGAACACAGTCCATTTAAATAATTTTTTTGTTTACCAAAAAAAAGCAACAGAAAAGTCACCACCTTTTAAGAATACAAATGTATTTGAAAGGGTATTACTATAGGATCTACACATAGAGTAAAAAATTCCAGAGAAAACAAGATAGGCTGAAATCTCAGCAAGATTAGGGTTTTGTGTTTCAATAAACTGTCTCTTTCCCAAGCAAGAAAGCCTCTAGCCTGTAATATAACCTGACACATTTTTGTAGATACCAAATTATGGGGTTTTTCAAGACTAAGAACTTAAAATGCAAAAATTATTGCATAACACAGGAAAATTTACAGGCACTGTAAAATCTCTGGATCCAATTATTCACATGTTTTTCTTGCTCTGCCATTTGAGATTAGGAATATTTAGTTATCACCACATTGCAGTTATATACACAAACTGTTCCAGGACAGTCACAAAAGCAGCTCCTGAACACAAGCAGTTTTTCATTACAAAGGAATTAGGCTTTTTTAAAAATATGTAATTGTTGGCTAAATAGTTTTTTAGCAAAGTTACATCACAAACTCATTACAGCCTCCCCTTCAATGGGCATGTGTGCATTAAACACCTTCTGGACTATGACTAGCTAGCATAAATTTCAGAGCACGTTATAGTAGAAAACACTTCCCACTTACACAAGATCCTCACACAGCTGCAAGAGCTAGAAATAAGAGGACAGTATCTGCCCAAACAGTGACTATTTTAGATTTTATTGTCAAATCCTATTGTTGCCATAATGTCTGAAGGCAAGGCCACATTTGGGTTCACTAGTCACCATGAACATATGGAGCAGTACATGGGAAAGTACCAAAAACAGTTTCAGTGGAAGTTGTTTGTGGCATTAACCAAATTCCTACCAAAGTGGATCACACATCCATGCACACACATATCCACATGTAGAGAATCTACTTGAGAGACCTGTGCAGCTTAGCACACTAGGGGAATAGAAAAGACAACATCTGATGGGGAAATAAAACTTGAATATTTGGTTATATTCTCTAGGCACTGGTAACACTCTGGTTTGACAGTCTGCAGGTTCCACCTTCAGTGGGATACCTGAGCACAATCAGCAGCAATTCCACTGGTGGAATGCCTTCATTAATGGTTATCCTCCCCATGCCATAAGCAGGTGAAGAGTCATAACACAGTACCTTGCCTAGAGAAAACCATTTCAATTTCACAGAGACATGTATGTGTCACCTTTGAGTCCTGCCCTCTACAATCTCAATCCAGCACTTTTCTCTGCTATCAATATCAAGCACACGTAACTCCAAACAACCACACAAAATATAAGTAAACATATCATGCACATATATAGGCAGATTCTTCTGTAATATCCAGGACCACTTGGCTTAAAAATCATTCCCCTTTCTCCCCTTTCTCTTCCATTCCAAAACATACAGTTTGGTGGGCAGGTAGGCTGCAGTGTCATCTTTGCTCTTGATGATGTCATTACACTTGTCAAGTGTCTGAAAAACAGTAAATGTGTCTCCAATGCTGTAGAGAGCAGCAAGATTTTTTGCAAGCAGTTTCCGTGTGGGCGGCCCAGGGGAACTGCTGATGAGTCCTGTTAGCTGTTCTACAAGTTTCTTCTGTTTTTCCTTGACATCTGTCTGTTAACAGACCAAAAATAAATAAGTAGTTTAATTCTCTGCATTGCTTCTAACACCCAGAAAAATCTACAAGAAATGGAAGTAAACTTTATACCACTCCCAACTGCACGTAACTCAGCAAACTGCTTGTCTCAGAGAGATATAAGATACATTCAACAACAGCAGACAGATGCTAAATGCTCAGAATTAGCTGCTGTCCTATTTAATTTTTAGTTTTTAAAAATACTTACCAGCTGCCTACAGACTGCCTACAGTTAAACACTTAAAACCTACAAATTAGCACAGACTCTTCAGGCTGAATCTGAAACCACACAGGTACCATCTGGCCATTATCTGTAAACCTTCTTTGGCATGGAATTTATAAAAATGCTTTTTAAAAGAAAGTTTATTTAGAAATAAGGGTGGGGGGGAACCCATTAAATTACCTTGTTAGCAGCTACTAGCACTTTATCCAGAAATCTCAACCATTCAAAGATAAAAACCGGTCTCTTTGCTTCTGTGATTTGAGCTAATGCTTCCTCATTCAGTAACAAACTATGAGCCAGCTCCATAATGGGTTGAATTCCAATTTTATTGCAAATTTGCGTAGAAACTCTAAAATAAAAATGTAAATATTAGCATAAAGTACACTACATCAGTACAAAGCTCTGAAAATCAAATGAAAATATTCAGCTTGCTCACACTTGTCTTAGCTAAACAGTCCCACATAAAAGCTACTCATATACTTACAAACTGAGTCCATTCTTTAGTACTTCAGCGAATGGAGCTGTAAACTGTAATAAGAGCACCTACAGGCAATTCCAGGGTACAAACTCTCAGCCAAGAAAAATATACCAAAGTCCCTGTTTAAAGAAGGTAAAGAAATCATCTCATTGTCTCTACTTACGAGAAAAAGGATTGTTGGTGCAAGTCAAGACCCTTGAGCTCACTCCCAAAACTGGGGCATGAACCTGCCCCCCTTCTCAACACCCTTCAACAGACAAGTTGAGAAGATGAGCCTACCACAAGTAGGAATTTCTAGCCAATGCAAGTTTGGGAGAACCAGGAACAGGGACAGGATTTGGCAGCACTGATCTATGATCTCCCTGATCCCACTAGCAAGCTCCCTGAAATCCAGCTAGCCTGAGGGTGACAGCCCAGAACACCAGCAGCAGCCAAACTACTGCAGGTCTCCCCAGCAGGCAAAATCCTGCAGATGGAACACTGGTGATCCTGCTCAATCAATGGGGCTGGCATCAAAGCACTACCAAAAGCACTCTGTCAGTGTAAGCAAACTTCATCTTAGCAAACCACCTGAAGAAATGCATAGCTACAGAATGCAGAGCTGACAGAAGGAAAAAAACCCACAAAATTTATCTAAAATCACAACATTAAATCAACCACCTTCAGCAAAAAGAAACCCAAGAAGCAAAAAAGCAACCCAACCCCAAAACCTGAATACAGAGATGCTGAAACTAGGATCCCAGGCAAAACAGAGAAAGCAACACAACTACAGAGTATTATGTAAGACATCAGCTTTCAACAGGCATCATCTTTTGACAGCTGCACTGCTCCACTTTTGCTCTCAAGAGCTCTCAGCTGCTTCCTCATTCATGATCAAACTCAACAAATTCTTAAAGCCAAATGAAGTGGCTTAAACTGATTTTTTTTAAACAGTCCCAAAATGAGACATTAGTAATGTGACATATTAATGCTGTATTATAGTTCTAAATCCACCTTAATGACTTGGTCCTGATGAAACCAAAGCATCATAATGTGTTTGATGTTAAAGTTGTTCCCTGCACTTCAGCACATTGTGTATTTTTCACTACATACAGTTCCAGCAAAGGTGAAAGAGCCACATATAGAAAGAAGCACATATAGCCCTCCCTAACTCCTCCAAAGACATTTTCTGTTTCTTTTGTTGTTGTTGCTGTTTTTGCTTTTACATTTATAAAGAACTGACAAGGCATTGTTTGTCAGTTACTCAGACGCATCACCTCAAAACACCTTTGCATGAGAGCAGAGAGAGATGCAATGAATGATAGCACTGTGATTCTCTGGATATCATCCCAGAGATCTGCACTGCTTGTCACACCCACGCAGCACATAAGTACCATAAGCACTGTTGGACAGCACAGCTCATTACTCCTTTTCCTCCCCACATAAAAGGTTTTATTTGTCCCTGGCCATAAGAGCCATGGACACCTTAGGCACCTTCCCCACAATCCGGTACTGCTTCATCTGAAATGCAGGAAACACAGGCTCTAAGCAACAAAACCTGCACATGCACTCGGCTGTGCTGGTGAAGCACAAGGCATCAGACACAGGAACAATTACACAGATATTCAGCTCACTGAAGAGTCAGTCTAACAGAGAGCTACTTATGCAGACAACCCAAAGCTCACTGACACTGGCCAAGGTTTGCTCCAAAAAGCAGTGAGAAGCATACGGAGTTCTACCTATCCTGGCAAGGATCTTGCCGTGAATGTTACAAGAAATAAATACACTGTGATCTCCCACAGGATGCAGAGCCAAAGCCGATCAAAGCCAACCAGCAGCCAAGGAGATATGTTGCAGCATTACAGAGATACGAAAACATTCAGAGAGACTACAGCTCCTTTCTATCCCCCAGCTGTTTTCCGATGCCTAAATCAACTACTTGTATCTTCACCACGCGTGCGCTTCAGTCAAGTGAGAAAGCCGAGAAACAGGCAACTTTAGGCGAAGTCACACACTCCTGAAGGACTCCATCACGTGAAAAGGTTTTCGCGCCTGGGTCCCCCTACCTGCATCGGCTACTTTAAAAAGCCGTAGCCGCTCTCAGGGCATCACGCCTGCCTCTGAAATCCCCTCAGAGGCACTGCAGCGGCGCAGTCAGGGGTCGGCGCTCCGGCACTGCCGCTGAGGGGCCGATGCCGAGGGAACACTGTCCGCCGCACACGCGCACACCGAGCCCGCACACCGAGCCCGCACGCCGCCGGCCCGGGGGAAAGGCGGCCCCTGCCCCCGCCCCGCCGCGCACCGGGCCGCTCACGGGCACTTACGCTCCTCCCGAGCGGCGGCCGCGTCCCGCCAGCTCCGGGCTGCACCAGGCGCGACAGCGCGGTCCCGGGGACCGGTCACGGACAGGCGTGGGCGCGCTGCGCCGCGCTCGCCCTCGGCCGCATCACCGGCGGGCCCGGCCGCCGCGGCTCTCCCGGCTCCTGGCGCTTGGCTGCGGCTCGCCGGCGCTCCCGGGCGTGGAGCGGCGTCGCGGCCGCCCGTGGTCGGCGGTAGCGGAGCCCGGGAAGACGCGCTGTGGGCTTGGGGGCGGGCGCGGGTGCCCCGGGGCTGGCAGGGGCAGCCCGGCCCGGCGCGTTACGGTGTTTGCGTCCCTCGGCCCCTCCGTCCGGGGACGCGCAGAGAAATAAAATGCTCGGTAACATGCACTGACCGTGTCCATAGGCAAGGCGTCGGCATAGGGGCGTGCTAACCATGGAGGGAGATGAAGAGGAAGACTATATGTCTGATTTATTTATTAAGTAAGTAGGTAGTTCTTTTTTTTTCTACGCTTCTTAAGTGATTGTAAACCTCTAAAACAAAAAACAACCACTCTAATGTTTGCTGGAATTACTAACTCGCAGGCAGGATGTCAGGCCAGGTTTGCCCATGGTGAGGCGGGTGAAGGAAGCCATTCAGAAGGAAGAAAAGCAAAAAGAAGCCAATGAGAAGAACAGACAAAAAAGCATAAAAGAAGAAGAAAAAGAGAGACGTGACTTGGTACTGAAAAGTGCTTTGGGCAATGAGAACAAAGGCTTTGCTTTGCTCCAGAAGATGGGCTACAAGAGCGGCCAGGCCCTTGGCAAAAGTGGTAAGTTTGTCACTCTCTGGAAGTGGTGTCTGTATTCAGTTATAGCTCAATATTTTACAGACTGCAGCTGTCACTTCGTTTGGTGACAGGTCAATAAGTGCCTCTTGGAGAGCCACAGCATTACAGAAGTGTGAAGGTGCTGTGACAGAACGAAATACGGGAGCAAATCCCTAAAATTGAAGTAAAAGTAGTACAGAGTATTGAGGGATGCAAGGGAAGAGCAGCACTTGCAGCTCAGTATAGCACTTGCATACCTGCATACCTACAGGAATTGCATGAAGGATGTTTTGATGGTTTTGCAAAGCTAATAGTGTTCAAAAAAACATCAGACCCTCTTGAAACTTATAGTTGGATTTTGAAAAAGAAACCGTGCACACTGGCCTACCCTTATGAAGCCTTAATAGATGAAGTAAAATCAGTAAAACAAGGAATCAATAACTGCTGTGCCAGTTCAGCAACTCTGGCAGACAATCACAATGAACTGGCCCAGACAGATTGTTTTTATTCTTCATCATTGCTGTGAGATTGAAAAGGCTCCAGAAGGCAGTAACAAAGCAGTCTTCATCGCAGGTATCTTACACCTGTCAGGTCAACACCTTTACTTCAGTTTGGCCCTGTCACAAAAAAGTTACATAGGATTTCAGCAGATGAGCTAAAAAAGAGAGGCAGTTTCCAGAACAGCTGTGTCATTTGTACTAAATGTATATTGATTGGGAAGTTTTCAGCTTCCAAGCAAAAAAATCACAATAATGGCAAAAGCAGCTTGCCTGCTTTAATATACTGCATAAATCATTGTTTGAGAAAAACTCGGGTTTTTTTATTGACTTTTTTTTCTCTCACAGGAGAAGGCATTGTTGAACCTATTCCTCTGAACATAAAAACAGGTTTGTGGTGCTTTCTGATTTATTTAGTTGGATATCAGAGCTTCTCAACTGCTTACATTCATCTTTTAAACTTACATAGGCAGAAGTGGGCTTGGTCATGAGGAACTAAAAAAGCGAAAAGCTGAAGAAAAACTGGAAAACTATAGACAAAAACTCCATATGAAAAAACAAGCAAATGAACAAGCTGCAGATGAGTTCAGGTAAAGTCATACATATTCCTGATATTCCAGGAATGTCTAAATAGCAGTTCTTTTTATGCTTGATATTTGGTTATTCTTTTAATGTGCTAGTATTTTTGAATATTTTGAATGAAGGGTGAGAGGTACAATACAGAGTAATTGTTTCTCAGTTCTAAAGCAAAAGTAGATGAGCACTGTAATGCTAAAAGCACGTGCTGCACCATTTAATTTTGTAATTGTTAGTAAGGCAAACAATATACATACTAACTTTTCTCAAGTCATATGCAGCTTTTTTAATTGGAGAAACATATATTTTGAAATATAAAATCCACAGATATTCCTAAGCACTGTTGGTACTACAGTTTTAAAAGTCAGAGTACATTTTTAAAGATTGTATTGGTTTGGTTTTCTCCTGATTTGTTTGTAATATATGGAGAAGTGAAACTGAGGAAAGGCTGTAGCTTTTGCAGATGTTTCGTGAACCACTTTATGTCTTAGGAAAACCTAATGAAGAAACAGTGTAGCATGGTCAGAAAAGGTATCTTAAAGGTATAATTCCCAAGAAATACAGGTGTGCTCCCTGCATGAGCAACAATGTCAGAATGACTTCTTAACTTTAATGTTGTTCAGGTCTGGGAAAGTTAGTAAGAATAGATTTTCAGGTTCTGTGGACTGTAATGCATTGTCACTGAGTGTGTGCCTGCTTAGTCACCTCTGCTTGTTCTTAACAGAATAAGATTCAAAACCAAACAAGAAGAACGTAAGATGGAAGGGGACCTGCGAAAAAGCCAGAGGGCCTGCCAGCAACTAGATACACAAAAAGTGAGACCTGGGGGATTTTCTGGAGGGTTGGAAGGAAGATTTCAGAGGTTAGAGATACAGGCTACTATGCAGTGGTTCAGTTCTTGGAAGTTCTCTAAAATTTTGGGGTAACTTGCTTAAGTCTTCATGTTTGGCAATGCTTCAGCCCTCTTAAAATATTTCAAAATCAATGTTTGTACCATTAAGATAGTTGAAGGTGCACAACAACCTCATGGTAACTTACATGAGAACCTGTGGGTTTGCTTCTGCGTTTTTCTGGTTATTTCTGAGCTGTTTGCGTATCTTCCAGTAGCCAGTATCAGGCATTCCTATATAATGGTGCTGTTTGCCTCAAGTGAGGGAGCAACATCATCACACAAACTGACATTGGGAATGGACTCTGGAAGTCATCGTATTCAGCCTTCCTTCACAAGCAGAGTCACTTAAAGCAGGTTGTCTGGGACCAGGCAGATCTTTAGTACCTCCAAGAATGGGGATCATCATTGAGGGAATCAATAGATTCACTAAAGTAGCATTAAAAAAACAAACAAAAAAACCCCCACAAAACTAAGGAAGGAATAACGTGGGTAATAGCAGTGAAGTTTGCCACTGGAAAACTTAAAGGTTTTTTTCTTCCTCTATTAACCAGGTAGAAGTTAAGAACACCTCACAAGTTCTGCTGAGATTGTTCTATACAACTTAGTTTGCTTCAAATGAAGTCAGTTGAATTAAGCTTAGATCATCCTTGTTTACTTTTCTTCCTTTAACTTTACCTGAGGTGAATTAGGAAGCACCATGTGATCTCTTGGTAAAATAACTTGGGACGTCTTCAGCTGATAGCAAGGGTATCTGCTCACAGGCTTGGTGTGAGATTACATTGTTGTGTAGCCTTGCACATATCAAACATAGATGAAATAGAACTAGATGTTAGCATTGGCATGCATTTCATTGTAAAAAAAAAAAAGGGAAAAAAGTGAAAAAAAGTATTGTGGACTGCTGTACTTACCTACAGCTTTAGTAATTCTTGGCTATACTATACATGCAAGTTTTAAAGGCTAATAGCTCACTTCATAGAAATTAGTTTTATCCAGCATTTTACAAGAAAACTTTAAAAGACAGATAACTTCAATTTAAATCCCTTAAGATGTTAGCATTGGCATGGATTCCATTGTAAAAAAAAAAGTGAAAAAAAAGTATTGTGGACTGCTGTACTTACCTACAGCTTTAGTAATTCTTGGCTAAACTATACATGCAAGTTTTAATGGCTAACAGCTCACTTCCTAGAAATTAATTTTATCCAGCATTTTACAAGAAAATTTACAAAGTCGGATAACTTCCATTTCAATCCCTTGTTATGTAAGGATATTGGTGTTCCCAAGGAGACTTGGTTTTGGATAAAACCTGAAGAGGAAGACAAAAAGGATGAGGAAGACAAGGAAGATGAATGCACAGGCTCAGACTTAAGTGTAAGTTTAAGCTCTTCAACTGAATTAATTGCTCAATTCAAAACTAAATTTAACATTCCTTGAAACAGTATGTATGTATACATACATGAATAAAGGATGTATGTATACATGTTTCCCACACTGTAGTAAAGGGCCTCTTTGCAATCCCAGAGCAGTGACTTTTGTAGCAGTTACATGATAAGTTATAAAATATTAAACCACTGATATACTGCTCATGTGTTTTGAGGCTAATCTTTGAAAAAATTAGCCTAGAAATTAAATCTTAAACATATTTTGCCTTAGCCAAGATGCACAAGATTACAGTTATTTGCTTTTGAGTTTTAATTTTGGTTTAAGTTTAGAGTCAATAATTTCTGAAAATGCTTCACAGAATATCTCAAGATGGACATTGGAAATACATATTTTTAAGAACTAAATTACACAGCTTTTGTTAGCCTTATATGTTTGATTGGCAGAGATTAGGTGTGAAAAAAAATCCACACAAGATATCATATACAGGAAGTCGGGTAGCTAAGTAATATTTTTAGTGTTTTCTCTTCAGTGCAGGTTTCTTAGCTGGAAAGAAGGATAAACAAACAACATCCATTAACTCTCCAGAGATCACAAATTCCTGTGCACTCTTCTACAAATGTGGGAAACTTCATGTCTTACTGAGCTACAGCATTGTGTAGCTTTTCCATAGCATTAGGTTAAACACCTTATTTTGGCAAACCAGTAGCTCAAAGTGGTTTATGTCATGAGGCCCAGGTCATCACATACCTGTACATATCTCTAGGTATCAGAAAAGCTACACATCCTGACAGCCTATTTGAGAGAGGAGCACTTCTATTGCATTTGGTGTGGAACAACCTATGAAGGTGAGAGTGAACCAAGCTTTTAGTAAGTGCTTTACTTTGCCTATTCAGCTAGACTCCAGCTGTAGAATATATCCTTTGTTTTTCTCCTACTGCAGCTTCTGAATCTGCAGAGCAAATTTACCTTCCAAGCCACTGGTTTTTGCACAAAGCTTGGTACATATTGTTATTGTGACTGTTAGCCAATTTTTAGGTTTTTAGCCAAAGCAAACAAACAAAAAAACCCCCACACACACAACAAAACACAGCAAACCATATTGAAATTTATTTAAATTCATATTAAAATTTAATTTAATTAGTTTTGAGAAAACATAATTCAGATGTTAAAACCAATATCAAAAAAAGCTGCAAAAGCTGGCACATGTTTCTGAAACAAAAACCATCCAGTTTCACAACACTAAAGAGAATAGAATTTGTGTTTGCTGTTTTAAAACAAATTTGAGACTTACTAACTTGTAAACCTTGTATTCTATTTAATCTGTTCTACAAGGATTCTAGAAATAGTTCTAGCAACCATTTTTCCTTCCCTGAGCTGCAATTACTCACTTTTTTTCCTGCTTATTCTGTAGACTCTGAAGATTTATCTTCAAACTGTCCTGGAGACAGTGCTGCAGATCATGACTAAAGCCAGTCTAAAGGAAGAAGCCCTAGAGAAGTATGTATAACTCATAGTATCTTTTAAAAGGCTTGGAGCTGTGCCATACTTAAGAATTCATACTAAAGTATGCAGAAGAAGAGTTTAAGTTGACAAGCTAAATTCATATTTTCTGTTTGATGCACAATTTAATAGGAATTAAAACTTGGTTTTTGTAATTGAGAGTTAGGTTGAGTCTTTCACAACTTTGTTTATGTGTTAGCCAGCTGGTAATAAAATTCAGATATGAGTAAAGGCATAAATATTGGCCACTCACTTTACTGCAAAATGTGTTAAATCAGGTTTTTTCATCTTTACAGAGATGCCTAAATACCAGACTGGTTTTTCTTACTATCTTAAACTTGGTCAGGAAAAAAAAAACTTGTGAAATGTGACAGCGATATTACTTGAACCAGTATTCTTTTGTATATAAAGATGCATATTTTCCATAATTAAATAGAATTAGATCATGATGGTGGGTTTTCATTTTTTTACATAAAAATACCTTTTAATTGACATTTTATTTTTGGGTAACAGCAGTTGCTACTATAACTAGCCATTTATAAAAAGATAATGCTGAAGTATACAAATACTATGCAGGGAAAATATATCAAAAAGTACTGGAACAAGCTACTGTTACAAACTGGTACAGTATTACTTAACAGCAAGAAGGTAATGATACTACTTTGCTCTGTCCAGAAACTGTAAAGGAAACACATCCAAAAGATTGTCCATTTTCATATTATGAATAATTTCATAGAATTGTTTAGGTTGGAACACATCTTTAAGATCATCAAGTCAAACTATATGTTAATTTTATCTCAACAGATTAAAGATAAGAGAAAGCTGAAATGGTACTATTTTGTCTGTAAAGATACATAATTTCTCACAGATCTGGACCACTGCAAAGAAATACTAATTAGTTTAGCATAGTGAAACACGATAGTGAAACACTTTATGAATTCCAGTCAAAGATAAGGTTAGGAAAGCATAAAGCTCTGATGGGATTCAGTCTGGCCAGGGATGTCAAGGAGAAGTTCAAAGTCAAGAAAATCTAAAGAACTAGAGGTGCACAAGTCCATGGGACCTGCTGACATGCATCCACTGGTCCTGAGGGAACTGGCAAATGAAGTTGCTTGAGTTGGGATTGTTCAGCCTGGAAAAGAGAAGGCTCTGCAGAGACCTTAGAGCAGCCTTTCAGTACCTGAAGGGGGCTGCCAAGAGAGCTGGAAGGGGACTTTTTCCAAGGGCATGTGGTGACAGGACAAGGGGGAATGGCTTCAAAGTGAAAGGTTGAGATAAGATGTTAGGGAGAAATTCTTTACTGTGAAGGTAATGAAGCACTGGAACAGGTTTCCTAGAGAAGCTGTGGATACCCTGCTGCTGGCAGTGTTCAAAGCCAGGTTAAACAAGGCCTTGAGTAATGTCATCTACTGGAAAGTGTCCCTGCCCCAGGCAGGGTGGTTGAAACTGCATGATCTTTAAGGTCCCTTCCAACCCAAACCATTCTATGATTCCATACATTTCATTCATGATAAAGAGAAAAATGAGAGCAGTGTAAGGCCTTACAAAAGTATGTACAATCACATTCTTATTTAGCAACAAATACTTGCACCAGAACATCAGTAATTTCCCTAAGAATATAAATACCTTCATTTGTTTTATTTATTTTAGAGCAGTCACCCACTTTTAACTCATTTAACATTTCAGAAAAAGCATACAGTACTTCACATATTGCCTGTTTTTGTGCTTAGAAATCTCTGCTCATTTGCCCTTATGGAGTTATGTTGACCCCACATCAATGAACAGTTTGACAAGACAAAGCTCACAGACAAGCACCTGAAGGTCCAGTGTGCCTTCTCACCCTGCTCCCCACACCACACACAGTACTTTAAGTTCAGGCAAGGCTGAACTCTGAAGGATACAAATGAAGAGTAGCAGAGAACCTGCTGTTCCCTTTAGTATGTGGGGCTGGCAGTGGGCACACCAGAGGTACTAAGTACAGTTATTAAGGGTTAGGCATGCCTCAGTATTACAATAAGGGACTAAAACCTAGAAGCATGGGAATGTTTTAAGTGCTCTTTCAGCCTTGGATTTCAAATGGTTACTACTGAGGCAATTTTCCTATAATGAGGAGAATTTTCCTATATTAATAGCACCTTGAATGTTCCTTTCCAAAAAAGACAACCATAAAAACCTAAAGTTTTCAAAATTGAGATTTGTTCTAAATTAGATTTCCTAGAAGCTGAATGTTTAACATTTAAAGAAATCCTCATTTTACAAGTTTAAATTCCAGAGCACTGAAGGTGCTAGGTCATCAGCAGCTGTGAAGAGATAAGAAAACTTGAAGTACTGAAATTCAGTGAAGAATAACATGCACCTATTCCTCATATCTTTTCTGCCAAAACCAGTCTCGGTACTAATGGGAGCATTCCAGTAATAACTAACAATATCACTGAACAAATCAGAGAGGTTTGAGTCACATACCACCAAGACAGCAGTTCTTCCATGGAAAGCAATAGATAACCTTAAGGGATAATGGATGCAGCACATGCAGGGATTTGGCACAACCCAGTTAGCACTTCAGCACATCAACATGATCTTTGAGGGGAAAAGGACCAGGTACTTATTGTACAAACCAGTCCAGCTCAGCTACAACCTATGTTTCCAGGTAAAAACTGAGTGTGATTTCTTGCAGATGTGCCCTGTCCTGGTTGCAGCCAGCAGACATGAATGGTGATGTGGCCAAGGAAAAGACACACCCCAAGTCTTGCTGTTGCTTCTGACATCTGTCATTTCATCAATTATAATAAATTCATCAAACTCTGGATTTAAACACAGTTTGAAAGGACATTCAATAAGAAAAATTTCTAAGTGCCTTCTCTTTATCAACAGACTTCACAAGGTCAAGTAAATGAGATGTAGTGATTCTTCCTGAAGGGTCTGTTGAAAGCATCTTTTTGATTATGGATGCCTGCAAAAAAAATTAAATGTCAATAGTTTGGGTTTTTGGTTTGTTTTTTTTGTTGTTGTTTTTGGTTTTTTTGGTTTATTTTTTAATTAATACATTAAATGTCAATAGTTTGGGGTTTTGGTTTGGTTTTTTTTGTTGTTGTTGTTTTTGGGGTTTTTTTGGTTTATTTTTTAATTAATACAGTACCCAAAGAATATATTAAAATCCCATACCTCTGTTGGAAATTGGATGGTGAAGCGCTCTGGGAGCACACCTTGTCTAACAGAAGGCCATACCTGAAATTAATAAAAGAGAATAGTTTTGGTATGCTTTCATTTGTTATATCTTCTATCTCCACTTTATGACCCATATAGTTTCGTGAAGTAGTTAGGAAAACACAAATGTACAGGAAATGTAAAGCTTCAAAAGGTAACTGTAAACAGTTTTAAAGTTGGGGCTTTTTTCATTTAGTTGTGCTTTGGTTTGGTTTTATGGACTTTTCATCAGCTATTACCCATTTCTAAGTTTAAAAGCTTCACACACAACAATGACATGTTTGTTTCAATCATCCTCTGTTTCAGAACCATTATCTTTCTTTCCTTAATTTAAAAGCAATGGATTTATAGTGTTTAATGACATTGAAAGAAAAGAAAAAAGCAAAACAACTGAATTTCTGTTTGCAAGCCAAGCAGGTGTGCTTCCTCCTTTTTATCATATTCAGTACCACACATTTATTTCTATGTCATTGTACAAAATACTACTTGGACTTCAAAGCAACTAACAAAAGACTTGTCATTACATGCTATAGAAATGGCTTTTGCTTAACCTTTTTTTTTTAATATGACACTGTCTCTCACAACATCCTGACAGGCAAGCTCAGGAAGAGCAGGCTGGACAAATGGATGGTGAAGTGGACTGAGAACTGGCTGAACAGCAGGTCCCAGAGGGTCACACTCAGCAGCACAGTGGTGTCCTCCTAGCTTCAGTACCGACCCAATATTGTTTAACTTGTTCATCAATGACCTGATGAAGGGGCAGATGCCTCCTCAGCAAGTTCACTGATAACACCAAGTTGGAATGAGTAGCTGATACCCCAGAGTGCTGTGCAGGCCTCCAGAAGGACCACAACAGGCTGGAGAGATGGGCAGGGAGGAACCTTCTGAAATTCCACAAGAGAAAATGCAGGGTCTTGCACCTGGGGAGAAATAACCCTGGGCACCATCACAGGCTGGGGGCTGACCTGCTGGGAAGCAGCTCTGTGGAGAAGGACCTGGGGGTCCTGATGGACAACAAGCCTTCCATGAGCCAGCAGTGAGCCCTTGTGGCCACGAAGGCCAATGGAATCCTGGGTCCATTAGGAAGAGCAGTACCAGCAGGCCAAGGGAGCTGATCCTGCCCCCTGCCCAGCCCTGCTGAGGCACATCTGGAGTGCTGAGCCCAGCCCTGGCTTCTCAGGACAAGAGAGACATGGAGCCCCTGGAGTGGCTCCATGGAGGGTACCAAAGATGCCTGAGGCTCTGGAGCATCTCTCTAATGAGGAAAGGCTGGGGGAGCTGGGCCTGTTCAGCCTGGAGAAGAGGCACTGAGAGGGGACCTCATCCATGCCTGTGAGTGTCTGAAGGGAGGTGCCAGGAGCATGGAGCCAGGCTCTGCTCACTGCTGCCAAGCAATAGGACAGGAGGCAATGGGCAGAAAGTGATGCACAGGAACTTCCACCTGAACATGAGGAAAAATTTCTTTACTCTGTGGGTGACTGAGCACTGGAACAGATTGTCCAGAGAGGTTGTGGAGTCCCCCTGACTGGAGATATACTGGACACAAGTCCAAGTAACGTGCTCTAGGGAACCCTGCTTGAGGAGGTAGATTGGACTAGATGACCTCCAGTGACCCCTTCCAACTTCACCCATTCTGTGATTCTACAAGTGGCTTTCTGGGTAAACAGAGCAGCCTGCTTAATTCATTTGCTGTTAACTAGTGTAATGTCTGCCTGAAGATGACAGTCATGACTTAGCTGTGTATCCTGAATCATCAGCTATCCCTATAAGCCTGGCATAGCAAGCCCTTTCCAACCACTATCCAGTAAAACAACAGCTCCCATGAACTTGGAGTTTTTTCCCCTACTCTTTAGCAGTAGCTTTAGGCCTGTGACCCTACATGCTGGTGATCATCAAATGAACCAGTTATTCAGCACAGAATAATCAACTCTGCTTTTACATGATGCTCTTACAGCAGGGCTTGCCAGCACTAGAGTTTATCATGTTCCATTAAATGAAATTCTTTCTAAGCTAATGGAGCAGCTGAAGACCATCCTAGGACTTTCCATCCACATAACTTCCCCACCTGCCTGCAGAGCACAAGATTTTTATAGTTTAAGGAAATTATGCTTTTCCAACTGTAAACACTGTGGAACTGTGCATGCATTTGCAGTCAACTGTGAGCAGGAACAGAAGGACTGAGGAAGTACTGCAAGGTAGCTGGAGAGAGCCAAGTTGAACAGACACACTGGTATGATCTTCTTACTGGAAAAATTATCTGATTAACAGTGTTCAAAACCTGAGTCCAACCACAATTACTTTAGACAAGATGCCCAGCAGCTACATCGCTGTCCTACCAATATGTAGGTTTGCACATAAAAAGCTCAAAGCACATACAGGACACCTTTTCTAAAAAAGCTTAAGTAACGAGGGGTTTCTTTTTGAAATAATATCTGTTTTACTTAAAGAAACCTCTTCCAAATCACTTTTGTTTTCATCTTGGGAAACTGCAAGGGTTTTGATTTGGAGGAAACTCTTCTTGCTGCACTGTGCAGTGAAGACAAGAGCATGGCAGAGACAAAACTCACCTATCCATAATTTTTATTTTCTAAAATTAGAAAAATACTCCCTTTAAGTTTCTGATCATATAAGAAGATACGTAAGAAACTTGACATCCTTTTTTGCTTGGCATTATTCTTTAGCATGCTCGGGCTTATTGTATATGTAGTAGGACAGAAGTGAAATAAACTGCAGTATTTCTTTCCTTCAGTTACGACATTTCAGCTGAGGTGTGAGGACTTACAGGCTTTATGGAAATGAATTAAGGTAAAAAAAATGTAAATAGAGATAATACTCAAGATAAAGAGATTCCTTCTAGAATGGAATAAGTGATACCAGAAGCAAAGCAAAACAACAACAGTGGGAGTTCTTCAATTTAAAGATTACATACCTTAGTTTTTTCATGACAAGTGAATGCCGAAAGAATTTCAAACCAAATTAATCCCAATGCATAAATATCTACTTCCTTTCCATATCTGGCCCCAGCCTAGAAAGATTAGAATAGAATAATGTAAGTATCAAATCCAACTGGAGAACAGCACTTCTTAGAGCAAAATTGGAAGTCAGCAGAAATTTCTACCCCAAGGCTACAGGACTGGCCTTACTCAATATCCTTCTTAGTTGTTAACCCTTTCTGCCTCAGACCTGTTAATAGTGACTGAACACCCTGAAATTCAGACTTCTACAGACCTATACAGATAAAGCATGCCAATCGTTGCCCTGTGACAAATAATGAAACAAACAGAGAAACTCAAATTATGCAATTAACAGGGGTCCTAAATTAAAATTTAAATATATGTCTGGCAGCCTGGTTATACAAGAGCAGTCCTTACAGCAAGCAGTGTCAGACTATGTTCACACAGAGCAAAAAACTTTGCCACACTTTTGGTAAAGCTTTCTCCAGAGTACAGTTATCCTTTCATACAGTCATAGCAGGGAACTTTAGGCAACTTGCTTTAATACTGAGATTAGGATTGAGAACATCCAGTGCTGAGTTTATAGCGCATGTCTAATTACAGAGACACTAATGCAGCAGGATAATTACCTGTTCTGGTGCCATATACGATTTTGTTCCTCTGTTCTCAGTCAAAGTCTCAAATGCCACAGAAGTCACAAGACCGAAGTCACCTATTTTTATTTTATTATCATGTGATATGAATATATTCTGAGGCTATTTTCATATATATAAATAAAAAGAAAAAAAAAATCACCAAATGACCAAGGTTTATCATCAAGCATAATCAGCCACAGAAGTGTTTCCCATAAAATTTGATGATTGTTCAGAAAGCAGCATTAAGAAACTGATGGTGTGAAAAGAGGAATAAGTTAAATGAATTTTTAAAAACACAAACTAAATTTCAAGTAGTACATTCTGCAGTAACTGCACCTCTTTTCCAGTAGCTCTGTCATAACTGTGTCATGCTTTAATTGCTCTTCCAATACACTGCTCATATAACAGTCTACATCCCAAAGTACTTTTCACTCTTCAATCCTAGCCAGAACTTGATACACTTAAGCAAAGCATTTAGTCTTACATGGAATTCCACTCAAATCAGAGTTTCTCCTAGGCACAGAAGGATCATGTGTACTCAATCAAATGCAGAGTTAAGGCTTACTACAGGTGTCTCAGAGTATCATGTTTACATTTCCATTAAACCTCCCCTTTTTAAATTTGACAGTGGCTTAAGGTGAGTTGGCAACTAAGCACCATGCCGTGGAATGGGAGGGAGAATCAAAAGTAAATTTGTAAGCTGTGTTTAAAACAGTTTGATAATTGAAACAAAAGAAAAATTTAATAATAATGGATTATATTTAATCCATTAAATAATAATGATAATAAAAGGATTAAAAAAAACCAAACCAAAACAAGGAGAAACAAATTATGCACAGTACAATTGCTCAGCACCCACTGAGTGATGCCAGATCTCCTTCCTAAGCCCAGATCAACCCCTCTTCCATATAAAATCTAGTCTTCGACTTAAAATAAGCACTACGTAGTAGCAACCAAAACATCAGTGTGTTATCAGCATTACTATAATACTGAGCTCGCAGGGAAGTTAACTTAACCCTAGGAATGCCACCACACTAATGATCTTTTTTACTGAGTGATTTAAAACCCTGTAAGCAACATTATAGCTTCCATCCTGAAGCCATGAAGGCTTTGTCCCTTAGAATCTTTATAGTGAAATAAAATCTTCTTATGACTGTGCACCTCTAGAGACAAAGTCTATCCAAAACTGTAGCATTCAAACATTCATATGCATACACAAGACAAAAGTAACTAGAGCATGTTGTTATCAAACACAGCATGTATTAGGATAGCTAAACAGGGATAGTTTAGCTATCCTAATACACGCTGTGTTTGATAACAGAACCAAGAACCACTTCCTAGACTCAACTTTTCTTTTTCCAATAGGCAGCTTGTGACCCAGTAACACACTGAAAATGCCTGTTAGTTGATGACTACTGACTCTCTGAATTATTGTATTCTGAGATCTTCCAAGTTCACCTGATTTTAGGATGAGGTTTAACCAGCTGCTGAAAGAGAATCAATCACTAGCAATATCCAAAGAAGCACACTAGTAGGGTACACAACAGAGTTAGCAAAGACTATAACAATTTAACATTCTGTGAAATTCCAGTAAGTATACTACCTTTAACCTTTTCTTTTTTTTTTCTTTATTTACCTATCCTACATACCTTGAGGTCTCGATGAATTAACTTTTGAGAATGAATATATTCCACTCCTTTCACTATTTGTAAAAATTTGTTTTGTGCCATTTCATGATACTTTCGGTCTTCGTTAGTTTTTGCAACCCAGTTTTCCAATGTTCCTTGTTCACAGAATTCCATTTGGATGAAAAGACAGAGAATTTTCTGGTTTGGTCTCCAGCTTCAAAAGAAAATGACATAGCATATTGAAATTGGCAAGATACAATTCCTCCCAAATAATTTTCAAAAGCCCTTTTTGCTAATAATTATTTTTGGAGTTACCCAAAACAAAATCTGCAAGTCCTTTAATTTTACAGGAAGATACTAGAGCAATTTGTATTAAATAAAAAGGACTGCAACCCAAAGAACTGCTCAGTTGCTACATATTCCTGGAATATTTCTGAAGTTTTGCTTGCTTTCTAGCAAGTTTCTAATTTCACACTGGTAGTTTTCTGAAAGCCCAAGTTCCATTTCCCTCATACCTAGAAACATGTCCTATCCAGGAAGAAATACCACTGTCCTTGGCTCCATCTGGCCTTGTAGGAACTGCTGCAAGACCCTGACACATGTTCTCTATTCTGCTCAAGAGATACAGCATCAGCCTTCCTATTCTGCCCAGAATGGTCATGTTCTTTTCAACTCTGTCCTGTCAAGAGGGTAGTGCAGTGACCATTTTTGACATTGGGCTGCTAGTCACAGAAACCCTTCTGAGAACTGGAAATCTAGATGAAATATATTCACCCATCTGGCAGCCTCCCACATTCCACAGAAGCCCCTAAGATAAGGCTGAGGCTGGAGATGGTGAGGGAAAGGACTGGAGAAAGAGAAGCATGCACTGTTTTTTTTCTATGTACACTGTGTGAGGAGTGCCCTTGAATAAAGCTGCTCAAAGCACAGAAAGAACAAGCATTAAATGGCTCAGGACTCTGTAGTCTTGAGGTCAGGGCATGAATTACAGTCTTGGACTTCTGCTTTGAGGACTTTTTTTTTTCTGTTACCCAGTAACTATTTAATGTAAAATATACACATGATATTGGGGCTCCAACATATTAATAGTTCCATTTTGACAGACCTTTTCCCCCCCGTTTTACTGCTTACTTCATGAGCACAGTAATGGAGAGGTATCATGCCAACCATAATTTTGAATCCATTAATATTTTATGGCTCTAAGTAAGTATGGCAGCCTATCTGAAGAGTATGAATTCACAGCCAGTGAAAAAAGCTTATGACAGAAGCTTGTAAAAGTTAATAGTCTAACTTACAAGTAAAACTCTCACCACTGTTTTATCACAAGCCTCAGTGTCAAAAGACTACCTCTAAATTAAAGAGTATTTCATTTTGTATTCCTTTTCTAAACAATCAAAACTCTTTCAGGCATCATAGTTAAAATACTAACTTATTACAAAAAAAGAAACTTCTGATCATGAAATTGGTAGCCAACTGTCAGACAATTTTTCTGTTGTTAATTCTTGCCCCAAATTTTGAGTTCTGCACTCTTACTCTTTTCTATAAATTCATTAAGTTCCATACATTGAGAGAGAAGTGAAATATAAAACTATATCATGTACCGTATTAATCAAGGAAAAGAAGATATTTGTAAAATAACTGATAAGCAATTATCAATAGCATGAAGTTCACTACAGCTGTGAAAAAAGTTTGTGAATGCAAACTATAATTTTGTAGTTACCTTGAGTCTGGGTACTTGATATAGTCATCCCCTTTCCAGCTGAAATGATAGCGAACTATGTTCTCATGTGTAAGTCTTGCAAGCCCTTGTGCTTCACGCTCTACTTTCCTATTGGGGGGGGGCAAAAGAATTAAAAAAAAAAATACATTTCCCTAATACAATGTAATACAAAGTTAAATAAAATATAGGCTATCAAGTGGCAGGTTACAGGTAGTTTTACATTAATTTAGAAACAAAGCATAATATTCTCCTTCATATTCAAGTTCAAAGGTCAAAACTGAAGTTACAAATCTGATAGGTTTTCTTTCATCTGCTCAGTTATTCAAAGTGCAAAAAGTGTTTTAACCCCATTAGGAGTTAAATCCCCATTCAAAAAAAAGCTGAAAAAGCAGGTAACTGCAAACCCACCAGCAAAGCAGCAGTCATTACCTGAAGAATCAGTAGGTTTTCAGTAATTAAATCCCCACTCAAAAAAAGCTGAAAAAGCAGGTAGCTGCAAAGCAGCAGTCATTACCTGAAGAATCAGTAGGTTTTCAGTATTGTCAGGATAGCAATACCAATGCAAATAACATGTATTTGCAAAGAACACAAGAATCCAAAGGGAAATGTACACATTACACAATTTAAGGGACAAGTATCTCCAACAATTTAAAACATTTTCAAGAGATAACCTAAAAAATTACATTTTTCATCTGCTAATAAAATACTCCACTAGGTAACAGAAAATTATTTTTAAAAAAAATTAAGATCATCTTTATGTGTTGAGACTTGTAAAAGACAAGTAACACAGCATGAGAGTAATGACTACATGGGTCAGATATAAAGCATTTTCCAATTACAAACCACAAAATTTATTACATGGATTTTTTTTTCTGTAATTATAGTTATTTTGCATTACTGATATGGAAATTTTCCATGTAGCCTCTCAAAAGTAACAGGGCTGCTTTAATAATCATAGGTTTCCTTCACACACAGTTTGCAATATTAGCAACCAGATAACTACTGTGTTCAGGGAAAAGAGAACTTAACACACCTACATTTTTACAGCTCCAATAGAAATTAACCCATTACATGCAAAAATTAACAAAGGTTCAGGACCACTTTCAGCTTAAATTGCAAATAAGGAAAACAGTTTACTAGAAAGGACAGATAATTAAAAATGAAAATCACTTAAATGCTCCTAGTATTGTTGAAGAGAGAAAATAAAGTATTGACATATTGATTAAGGTTGTCCTAAAACACAGAAATAAACATTCAGTACATACTCTGTGAATTCAACTCGTTTGATTGCATAGGTTTTCTTATCACACTTTGATGTTGCCTTGAAAACATTCCCAAAACCACCTGCACCAATAGGCTCTATTTCTTCAAAATGTTCGAGAAATCTTAAAAAAAAAAAAAGAAAAAAAAGAAAACCACAATTATACTTAATTTTCAATTAAGGATATAAAAACAATCTTGACAGATTTAATACATCTACTGCAATATCATTCTGCAGTCATCATTTGACCAATCTACAGGTTTAAATCAGAGCCTTGGAGATGAATACAAGGGAAACTGACCATTCCAGGCATGTCAGGTAACTACCCTCACATCTTCATATGAATGACATTTGGTTTAAATGCTTTAAATATCATTACTTGTTAATTTCTATGCTAGATTTGAAATTTCCAGGAAAAAAATCTAGTATCAATCTTCTTTGAAAGTTCTTTTCACAGCAGTATTTTCTCTCCTTCTACTGCAAATAAACAAATCTAGATTCATACATACTGTTATTGCCTTATAAATAATAATTTTTAAAAATCCTTCTTACGTTTTATTGACAGTGTGCGGACTCTTCTCTCCTCCAGTATTTGTGTCCACATCTGGCAAACTTGCATTTGAATCTGACATATTTGCTCCCTCTTCCTTGTTTCTTACAAAACAAGCAAAATTAGCTGCCAATTTTCTTTAACAAGGATAAAAGCAAAATTTATAATGAGTCATTTTTCTAACACATGATGAGAAAATAAATCTACCTGCCAATAGCAGCATTTCTTTACTAGAGACAGAAAAAATAAATTTATTTAAGGTATATATTATTTAGAGGAGATAGCAATCTAGAAATAAGCACATACCTTTTGGCCTTCAAACTTTGTGCATTTCTCTACATGGAAAACAGAAAAAAAAAAAAGCCTAACTGAGGTATCCTGAATTTTTTTCAGTGCAGTCCGTTTAAAATATATCTGATAATGTATCTAGGAATTGCCTACAAATATGATCATACCTTATGTAAACAATGTCATAAGAATGAATTTTAGCTCAGTGTTTTTCACATGAGCAAAAACATGCATAACATTATCATTACAAATAATGAGCTTAGTTTGACCCTTTTCTTGGGAGTACTGGCATTTCTTAAACACTGCATAAATTTGATCCACAATACAGAAGGTTAGCATTAGTGAACATTCATAGGAAAAATGCATGTATTTTCCAATGATTAGTGGATAAAACAACAAACTGATGTTACACTCTGACAAGAAGCATGCCCTAATCAGGGTCTAAAATGTAATTATGAGGAAGATAATTTTCATACTATACCTGCAAAGGTGAAGGCTTTTCACATACTGCCATGTCATTCACTTTTTCTACCAACTTTGCAGATGAGTCAGCAAAGCAAATGCTGTTTTCACTGGAAAATAATGGACTATTTTTAGGTGAAGGTAACACAATAATAAATAAAATTATTGTCACAAGAAAAGTACCAAAAAAATCAGAGTTTTTAAAGCAAAACCTGAAAAAGCATTAACAATCATGACTGATTTAAACTACAAAACATCCTGCTTGAAAACTATTAAAATAACAAGACATTGTAATATTCTTCTTTATTTCCATTATAAAATGAGCCTATGATATCTAGAAGATAGAAGAATATAAAAGTGGTAGTGGCACTACAGGTAAACTGCTGGTTCTTAAATCACATATCAAACTTAATGCATATTCAGTTTCTTTTGCTAAGGAAATTTTTCCCTTTGGTTGAAATGAAGATTCATGTAGAATGAAAAAAGGGGAAAACAAAAAAGAAAAAAGGGAGAGAAGAAAGCAGAATATGGAGCACTGGAGAGTACTGAAATTGAATTACACAGAGTTCACAAGAGTGCCACAATAGGAAAATGACTGTTAAAATGGCATTAAATAATGCTATTGAATGAGGTAGGGTAATTCATTTACATCACAGGAAAAAGCTTCTGAAAGAACTACCAATCGTAAAATGTGAACAAATCAGAGAGCTCTAAACTTACTACAAGCTATCCCATACAGACTCACATAAAACTGCACAAGTAGAACAAACTTTGCTCTGAAGTTTAAGGAACAGAAGTTAAAATTAGATGGTTTTATACTGCAATAAAACAATAAAATTATATATTTTACTTAGAACTAGATTACATTACCCTACAAGATGACTAAATATATTGTTATCACTTTAGCAGTGAACCCAACTTACTCTGAGTCAGACTCAGCTGGCACTTGAGAGGAATTGCTGTATTTGCTAAATGTAGAACTGCCATTAGATCTTTCAGTTTCCATCTGCAAAAAAAAAAAAAAAAAAAAAAAAAAGATAAGCCAAGAATGTTTAACAAAATCATATAAACAAATCTCTAGTGCAAAAGATGCCATTCAGAGAGGGCAGAGGGAAGATTACAAGATCCTAAGAGCAAGTTGGTAACTGCACTAAACATTCAAAGCCCTGCAGAAGAAAGGCATCTGCCCAATTTCCACCCAGAGAAAGGAAAACACAGGGCCCTGTCACAGTGAGGGTACTATACAGACACATTTACAAAATAGAGTCTGGATTCTATTCAAAACCAGGATAAGAGTAAGAGTTATGGAAAGCAAGTATCTTCATTCTGTTGCTGCATGTGCAACTGCTGTGTGGAAAATGAGACATATGTAACTTTTGATATATGTAATCAGCAGAACTGAAAATCTGAGTCAGAACAAATTGACATTCAATGTCTTCAGCACGAAAACACTGCAAAACTCATAACTAAATTAGGGTTGAATAAAAAAAATATCCCAAATACTTAGTAGAGGCTCTTCCCCTTCCTCCCACTACCTATGTCATAAGAGCACAAAAGTAACATTAAAAGCAACAACTACACTGGATATAGACAACCACCTTACAAAAAGTCAACAATTTTTTTTTTCATGTTTCCTGGTATTCCATCACAGTATCATGGACACAAAAACACAGGGTTTATGTTTAAATGAGAGCCAACAAATAACCCCCTTTTTTTTTAAATACAGGAGTACTGGACCTTTACTACTTTTTACCAGATTACATTTTGTTTGTTACCCAGACATCACTGAGAATTAATAAAAATTAAAACCAACCCAAAACAACCCAATTGAAATTTAGACTATATGGTATACAGGTTCTGTTTGAGGTAATAAATTTCACACTTCAATGAAAATAAAAAGATCCATGGGTTTGCAACAAAGGAAGATATTAAGAAAGGCTCCTAGAGCTATAATACGATGTTAATTAATTGCATGGTTGACTTAAAAACAATTCTAAAAGCATTTAAAATTCAGAGTAACATCCAAATAATTTTAAAAGTACTTAAAAGTAAAAAAGGCTTCTTCCCACCCCTATTCTGCCATTCCTTCCCTTAAACTATCCTCCATTTAGTTAGTTCATATGTTCTGTACATTTCAGAAGTGGGTTTGAATCACTACTGGAATTCTGATAGTTTTTTGCACATGTGGAAATAACAGCTGCCAACATGAAGACAACAGCTCTGCTCTCCAGAGGATGGTGTCAGCAATTGTTTCATAGGACTCTGCCTTGGAACACTAGAGAAGGCAAGTCCCGTTCATTCTGACTCCTGCTTTTGCCTCTCACATTACACAATAGATTTTTGATCCAACTGAGGACAGTAAAAGAAGTAGGTTCATAGTCTGCCAGCTTAACAACACTTCTCACAGAAGACAACTGGTATACGAGTTGGAATTTTAAAATTTTTAAAATGTGTGTATCCTTGAATGTCCTTCTGACAACATATCAGACCTATTCTGAAACACCGAGAGATATTGATTGTTAACAGTTTGGGTTTTTTAATCCAGAACTGAATAAAGAAGCACAACATAAATTCTACTAACAATAACCCAACCAACATACTAAAATATGGATTGTTTCCTTCTTCAATGGCACACATGGAATATGCTTTTAAATACAATAAAGAAATTGGTTCAAAGACTTAAATTTCTGTGAAAAGGCTAAATATAGCACATATTGTCAGAGAGCATTCCTTATTTACCTTCTCATATGCTTCCTTTGCTGCAGCTTGTTTTGCAGCAGCTAGGGAAGGTCCAGCTCCCCTTCCGTACAAATGACCACTAATCATACAGCTAACAAAATGCCTGTAAAATACAACAGGGAATCGAGTCTTGTATCCCATATGACAAGTCTCAATTTATGATTTTTAAACAGTACAATCAAGTGACATTACAGAATGGAAATCTGAAGTATACATCTTCAAAACAGCGTTTTCCATATACATTTAATGTAGTTAATAATGGTAAGTAACTAATTTGTGCCTTAAAGATAACTCACTGGAGAGCAGCACTGCAGAAGGGCACCTGTGTATCCTGGTCTCTGGCAAGTTGAACCTGAGTCAGCAGTGCCCTGGCAGCCAGGAGAGCCAACCCTGTCCAGGGGGGCATCAGGCACTGCATCACCAGCCAGGCAGGGGAGGGGATTGTCCTGCTCTGCTCTGGGGCAGCCTCACCTCGAGTGCTGGGGGCAGCTTTGGGATCCACAATGTAAAAATACATTAAATTATTAGAGAGTGTCCAAAGGAGGGCAACAAGGATGGTGAAGGGCCTTGAGGAGCAGCCATGTGGGAAGCAGCTGAGGTCACTTGCTCTGTTCAGCCTGGAGGAGACTGAGGGGAGACCTCACTGCAGCTACAGCTTCCTCATGAGGGGAACAGGAGGGGCAGGAACTGATCTCTTCTGTCTAGTAACCAGTGACAAGACTCAAAGAGAGAGCATGAAACTGAATTAGGATAAGTTAAGGTCAGATATTGGGAAAAGATTCTTCACCCAGAGGGTGCCTGGACACTGGAAGATTCCCCAAGGAAATGGTCATAGCACCAGCCTGACAGAGCTCAAGACGCTTTTGGATAATGCTCTCAGGCAGATGGTGTGACTCCTTCTAAAGATTCAGCTAACATGACCAAGGATAACTAATGGTAGCATTAGTAAACACAGAAAGTATTAGAAGGAAGCAGGAAGGTAAATTATATCTTACGTGGGAGCATGGGCATCTCCAATACAAGTTTTAGTATAATCAACTATTTGACACGACCTCTGTGAAAAAATATTTAACAGGCTGACATAATCTTTGTCTGGTGCAGGTGATGAGGTTGTTTGAGTTGTCGCTAACTCTGCAGCTGCCATATTTGAGGAACTGTTATGCTATAAAACAAACAAAACAGGTAACTTGAAAACTTAAGCTTGAAAACACATTAAGATAAACAGTGCACAAGAACTAATATAGCTGCAAGGTTTGTCCACATTTCGAAACACTCTTAAGAAATCCCAAAGTTTCCATTAACTCAGTCCTTTGTTGCAAAGGACAGACATGCCAAGCATAATTATTACATTTTGAATAAATGGAAACCTAGCTTTCCAAGTACTTTTGCCTTTAACAACCTCTCATCATGCCTCATCCCACCCTTTTTAGGAAAACATAGGGAACAAGCTGTGAAGAAGGGATGGCAGCAGGATGCTGCTGATGCTCCCATTTAGCAAAGGCTGCAAACACTCCTGTGCATGTACGGAGGGGAAAGCAGGACTTTTCAGCTGCCTCATGATTAGTCAACATCAGTAACCTATCAGCAGACATGCAGCAATTGTGTTAAAGTAATGACAGTGAGACACAATAAAAGCCATACAGAAAAAGGTAAGGAAAGATTTCACTCAAAAGGTACTAAGAAGCATTCAGAGTCAAAAAGAAAAATAAAGAACAGCAAATAAAGAAGGGCAAAACACTTGGCAGAAAATCAAGGAACAAAATTCAAACCTAGACTTAATCAAGGAAAGTTAGAGTACATAACTAGCTCTACTGTAAAGAATATAATAAAAAGGAAAAAAATATTAATTATAACAAGTGAAAGTAAGCAGTTTCTTTAGTGGCAACAGACACACTGAGTAATTCCCTACAAATACTCTGAAGGCATTGAATCACTGAACAATTGTCAAGTTATAAAAGGACCACTGCCCACGTCGGACAAACCAAGGCAGCTTAACAAAGGCAAACACGTTTCCTTATCCTCCTGTAATAGCAGAGGAGGAAACAGTATTAGATATCAACCCTATAGGAAAAAAATAAGGAAAACAATTCACTGATAAAAAGTAGAAAAGTGAAACAAAGACAGCTTGAATAATTAGAAACTGTTTCAAATTAAACAACATTTTATCAAAACATTTTATCTACTTTCAGATATTAATCTTCAACATTTACTACATTACATGTGATTGTAACCCCTCAAACTTAATCCTACTATTTACTCACCTGTTTCTCAATCATTTCCCATGTTTCTTTTGCTGCTACTGCTTTTGCTTCTTTTTTACTTTTACCAGTGCCTCTACCATATTCCTCACCGTTTATTCTGACAACAACTGTGAACCTGCAATGAAGGAAACTTGTCTAAAACATTGCTACATTTTTCCCACATATATACTTCAATAACCTTAACAGAACTTTGGGGTTTATTATCTACAAAGCACTATAGGATACACTATGGGAAGTACTGAAGCATTAATGTGGGGTTTTTTATATCAAACCTATGATTATCATAATTCTTTATATAAATACTTTTAAAATTTTCTTTTCTAGTCACAAATTATTAGTTCCAACTAATATACACTTTATTAGTTCCAACAGTACTTTTAACTGCTTAACTGCTTTTTAAAATCAAAATAATGTACTTTTTAAAAGCATAAGAATGGATGAGGTCAGCACTGTTACAAGCAAGGTTGTAAAGCCCTAACACCAGGACACATCTCAGTAGTGTGACACTACATAAAGGAAAGATTAGCTTATTTTGGTTTCATGAAACCAGATGTGAGATTACACTCACCTTTAACACCCTGTGATGTACACTGCTTAGTAAGAGCAAAAACCACATCTGGTGCTTGTGAGACACGAATTTAAAGGCAGTAATAAAAAAAAGCCCCACCAAAACAAAAAAAATTCACCAACAAACAAACACAGGCCCCAGTCCTGCCTTTCTCTGCTCAACTGCTGATCCCTTCCCTCTGTCCCTCCATTCTACAACTGGGCACGTCCCGCTTCCCATATTGCAACTCCACGAGTCAGAATGGGACTCTGACGCAGCTCAGGACTGACAGTACTGTATCTGGCTGGGATGAGGTTACCTTTCTTCAGTGCAGCCAGAATGGTGCTGTGTTGTGGCTTTGGAACTAACACAGAGTTAATGTTTTACCTACTGTGAGTAGTGCTTGCACAGCACCAAAGTTTTTTCTTTTTCCCACTCTGGTCTTCCAGGAAGCAGAGGAAGGAAATGTGAGAAGCTGGGAAGAGACACAACCACGGCAGGTAGCCAGAGGGATATTCCATGCCCTATGGCATCACACTCAGCAATAAAAGCTGGGAGATGAAGAAGGAAGAGGGGATACTCATGGCTATATGTTTACCTTCCCAAGTACACATTGGACATGATGAAGCCCCACTTTCTTGGAAACATCTGCCAGCTGATGGGAAGGAGTAAGCAACTTCTTTATTTTGCTTTGGTCACACATCCAGCTATGCTTTGTCAAACTGTCTCTATCTCAATCCACAAGTTTTTGCTCCCTTTCACCTTTCTGATTCTCCCCTGTCCCACAGGGGGGAAGTGAGTAGTTAGCTGGGGGTTTCACTGCCTCCTGGGGTCAACCTACTGCTGTGCCTTAATAACAAATGGTTGGATTTCAGACAAATCAGTCCTTACAGATCCAACCTGTCCTGCAGCTGCAAATCCCCTCATGTTTCTGATACTGCTTTTGCACAAAAGGCAAGATAGGAGAAAACAGCAACTGGATTTCTGCCTTTGACCACAGCACATTAAAGTGATCATTAGAGCCTCAGAGCACCTCTGTGCTTCAGATTGCAGCACAGCATGCAAATGCTCACAGCCAAGAGGATGGATTCACACAGTCAAGGTACAGCACTGTGAGCTCCTCTGTGGGAAATTTGGTCTCAAATAGTGTAGTGACTTTAGGAACTCACTTTTTTCATTATTCCAACCTCATTCTCCACTTCCCTTTAATGAAATGTTTGGGTGGGAAACAATTAAGATGCAGAATGAAGTGCTTGCTCTCAATGTGTAAGCAAGGCTTAACAAGAAATCTTAAGGGGGCAAACAGTAGGAAAAAGCACCCCCATAGTGTGCCATATACTCTACACATAGGAAACAACAAAGAAGAAACAAAACATGTAATAAAGGTTGTTCTTTGGGAAGGAGTTTGTCAGTTAACCCATACCCACACCTAACCCACTACACACATTCAGCTATGACACTGCATCAAAAATACATTTTATTAAAGCATCCTGAGGAAATCTGCAGTGAGTCTCCATAACCAAGTTCAAGATTACCTGCAGGAACATTACATGAGTTGGTCATAAGTGAAGAGTTCACCATGAACCCTAAGTTAATAAGCAATTCCCAGACTTGACAGGTTTAGGCAGGACTGGCCTAATTGTCCATTCTCTGTGTTCCCAGACCAAGACAGCTCAGGACTGAGCCACCCTGATCTCCTTTAACCTTCTTACATTGTGTCCAGCACTGGCCCTGTCAGACACAGTACTAGAAGCAGCCACAGCACCAGAACCACGATAGGATGGGAGGTATCTCCTCATCATGCCCCAGACAGCTGCAAGGTGACTCATGAGATGGGACACAGCACAGCAGAGTTAGGGAGCTAGCTCACAACCAGCAGTGGTCAATGCAGCCAGTCAGCAGGCAGAACACGGGGAAAGAGCAGCATAAGGGGACAGAAGGTTTACAGCACACAGCACTACAGCCAGACATGTTACTGTATCCTTGGAATAGCTCAAGTTACCCAGGACATTCCTAGGTACATTCCTGCACAGTGTGCTGAATTTCATTTGTGAATGTAGCAGAACACACAGAAAAACAATGAAAAACCACAACAAATGGGATAAACAACTTGGAATGTATGTAAGTTCGGTCAGTTCCATGCCATCACTTTTGCAGAACGAAGATGTTGCTGTGTAATCAGACCTGTGGTCTTTACTGAAATAAGAGTTACTTTTTAGAATTACATGAGCCACATGGGTGAAAAAATAAGATAACTATTAACATTTGAGACCCAGATAATATCTATTAATTTATTCTGGGATGGTAGAGGTAGATGGATTTAAGAATAAATCTGCATAGACAATGCTATCTAACAACATGCAACACATCAAAAGAAATGTATTAATTATTAGCATAAGGCTTGTCTTCATGCAAACTAGCAAAAAATTTTTTTTTAAAAATCACACAAGGAAATATTACAGATCTTGAGTACCTACAACCTTTGGCAAGGGAAAAAATACACTGTATCAATGTTAAAATATAAAATATATTCCATCACCTGTCAGTGTCTCTAAAAGTGAAAGCAAAACTTCTTAAGCAAAAGACCCTTTTCTTGTAAGAGATGTTAAAAAATATACCACACATTAAATATATTAGTACACAACCAGTTAATACATCCAACCTTTCTGGCTAGAAATCAACAATGTTTTGTAAACACTGCTTTGTAGCATTGAAATCATAATTGAAATTCTTACTGTGACCCAATCCACCTTCTGAGAGGAGACACATAACACACAATAGAGTTACTAGTAACAGGTGCATTGCTGGCACTTTCTGAAAAAGAGCCATCACCCTTGAAATAAGTTTTCTCCTTTAACTGTATCACATGTCTTCCCCGTGCACCTACCATTCAATTCAATGGTTTCAACCAGCTTTCCCACTACATGTGCTTTCAGCAAATTAATATTTCTGACTGCAAGCTTTACACAGTTTGTTTGTTCATTGCAAGAAGAGCCCTATTCATTATTGACATAGAGAGTAAACTTACTCAGGATCATGAGACGGGCCCGTCATATTGATGGGGTCATAAACCAGTTTAAGTTTATGCATTTGACAGTAATGGTTGATCTTCGTCATATACTCACGATCCATTTTGACACAATCTTTCGTCATATACTCACGATCCATTCTGACACAATCTTCAATAGGTGCTGCAAAGTAACATTCAAAGATGTGTCTGTTGCTCTAGACACAGCCTATGATCTTCGTACATAGGTCACTGCTATGATATAAAATAGAAAATTGGTGCCAGTAACAAAGTTCATGGGAAACTAATTCAAATTTCTAATTCAAGTGATTGTCTCCAAAAGTTTTGGAAATCATTGCTTAGAATAAGAGTTTTAGCTAGCAGAGTGGAGAATTCAGTGATTAGAGACTTCTTAGCAGATTTCGTGACAGAAAAAGATTGAATCATCCACTGATTCCTGTGGGAGGAAAATAATCAGTAACGTTTCTCCAGAATTAGAGTCGGTTCCTGCAAAAGAGAGCCCGACGGCACTTAACATATCCCTTGGAGCGCCGATGACGCCAGGCGCAGCCACCCGGACCCAAGATGACCCCAGGCTGCCGCCACCGAGCGCGGCGGGCCAGGCCTGTGCAGCGGGGCTGCGGGCACCCCACCCGGCACGGACCCCTGCCCGTCCCCCCGTCCCGCGGTACCTCCGAGCCGCTGCCGACGCTGCGGGACCCGCGGGCGCTCCAGCAGCCGGCACGGCACGGCACGGCCCGGCCCGGCGCGCGGCGCAGAGCCCGCCCAGTTTCGTTTCCCGCGTTAGTACGAAAACGAAAGCGAAAGGCAGCCGAGGGCGGGAGAGCTACACCGGGAGAGGGGCGGATGTGGCCCGAGGCGGGGGAGCCGCGCTCCTACCAGCGCTCCTGAGCTTACGGGGAGCCAGGGCTCCAGGCAAGCGAGCGCCTTCGCCAAGACCGGCCCCCGGCCTCGCCCCGACCCCCGGCGCCCTTTCCTGTTACAGTAACCACACGCTACAGCTCAGCAGCACGGCCAGAGGAGAGCAGTGCGCACCCAAATACATCGAACCCCTCAAGCCCAAGCCCCGGAGTTTTATATCCTCAGAGTCTCCCCCGGGGCATCAGTCCCGCTCTTCCTTCTCGTCTTCTCCTGCCTCCCCGCTCCGTGTTCATACAACGCACTGGACTCATCCAAAAGCTCGGCAGTCACCGGCTGTTACTCTCAGTTGTGCATTCACCTGGCTGAGGTCACTTGTCTTCATGTCCTTTGGTATCCCAAAGGCTGGGAATTCATGGCTGCTTGTCTCGAGCTCCAACCAGGAGCCCAATCTGCATTTCAATCTGCAGATTGCAGGCCAAGACACCTGGGTGAGAAGTATTCCTCAATACATTGAGCTTGAAATATATTATGGGCATCACTGAACACAGTCACTTGTCTTCATGTCCTTTGTTATCCCAAAGGCTGGGAATTCATGGCCGCTTGTCTCAGAGCTCCAACCAGGAGCCCAATCTGCATTTCAATCTGCAGATTGCAGGCCAAGACACCTGGGTGAGAAGTATTCCTCAATACATTGAGCTTGAAATATATTATGGGCATCACTGAACATGAATGCACTTCATAATAAATCTCTTACTGGGATAAAGAAAAAAAAAGATCAGCCACCAAATTCATAATATATTCTGTGGAAGTGGGAAAGAAAAACCTCCAAGATTCGTTTTCAGGGGCTGGATGTAACGGATGGAGCAAATTACTTCCACTGTGCACACAGGTCACCTACTCCTGATTGCCCAGATTTGACTTCCACCCCCTGCAAGGTCTCTCTCCAGCAGAAACCAGACAGCTGTAGAAAAGGAAAACAGCAGTAAGCCTTAGGTCTTCCTCAGTATGAGGAAACAGCTTGGGCACCCAGGAAGCTCACCTGCTCTCTCACAGCGCTAACACAACCAAAAAGGAACCTATTGAGACACCAGTGGAGATGCAGGAAAAATCCACCAGAGAGTTCCAAATGCTGAACTCCTAAACATAATCATCTTGTAGCAAAAAAGGACAAACTGTGATACGAGTTGAATAATTCACAAATTATTATTTATGTATGGACAACAAGTTTTCTTTGGAAGTGTTTATGATATTCTTCCTTTTTAAAAGGCATCCAGAGCAATTCCTTGTTTAAAGATACCAAACTGGCATTCTTACATTATCACTTCTCGAACGTGCACTCCATCTCTTGTTTCAGCTTGTCTCCCACTCAGGTTTCCAATGACTGTTCTTTTCTGGATTCTCAGCTTCTGCAAGGGAATTCCAGCCTCTAGTGAACCTGCAGAACAAGGAACAGGAGAACAAGGAGAAAGTTGCTGATAGATAAATGGTCCAAATAATCTTTAAAAGCACAAACATCAATTTTATGTAAATGTTCCTTTTTCCTAAAGTACACATAGGATCTGCTGCTCACTGTCTGCAATGCAGGGCTCTCTGAAAAAACCATCTTCCTAAATAGAATAAATCCTAGAAATTCAGCTATTTTTAAATTACTCTTCTATGTAAATGCTGAAAAACAGTAATGCAGTATAGGTACATGAAATCCACATGCCTAACACCTTTTCTGTCTTATCAAGCAAAACTAGCACATTTTATTAGAAACAGCTAGAGTAATTTCATTAAAAATCCTCTTATTGCCTTAACTACAGGATCTGTTTCTTCTGGGAATCCACTTCTCTCCTTAAAGGCTTGTCTTCTGTACTTTTACTTGCCATACGCCAATCTTTTGGGTGCAATTACTTTGGCCTTGCATGTGACTCAATGTCTTCTATCAGATAAGGAGATTGATATCAAAGGTGCAGTTTTGAGAACTGAAAGTGACCTGCAGTGAACTTCAAGTTTTTTGGTAAAAGACAAACTTTCCTCCAGCTTCATGAACTGCAGTTAATGATTCATAGACATTAATCATTAGCAGTATCAACATTAGCAGTAAATCAACATTAGCAGTATTAAACACAAATCAAATTAAGAAAATTTGCTAGATGGCTGTTAAAAAATACTTTGTGTTTCTCAAAACATTATCAACAAACAAGAGCCTGTTAAATTTCACCTTGGGGAAAATCATCAATTCTGAAACAGACTTTGGTATATACACCTAAAAATCTTGTTCTGTAAAGCCGTTAAGGCTTTAATTCAAATGCCTTTAAGATTCATTTGCTCTATAAAATATTGACCTTTGGACTTTCAAATAATCCATTATTATACGGATTCTCAAAAGAGTGGAGTTACAGAGGAGTTATTGACTTCGGCTTTATTAGGAACACTTGCTGATGGATGATTTAATCCCCATGTTGTGGCTGCTGTGCCCAGAGATATGAAGGACATGCTCCAGAAGCTAACAGGGAATCTGGGAAAGCAGAACTGAACTGAATCTTTTGTGGGCACGTCCTCCTCCTCCTTCGTGCAGGTCCTTGTTCACGGAATGCTTCGGAGTGAAAACCTACAGACTTCGGCATCTTTGGGCGCGACGCAGCAACCCCGTGCAGGGACCTGTTTGGTGCCGTTCCCTAAGGCTGGGACAGGCTTCCCCAGCGGCAGCAGCCGCTGGCCCGGGGCTAGCTGAGCCAGCCAAACTGCTGCCAACAGCCGGGAGGTGCAGGCCTGCCCGGGTGGAAGCGCCGCGGGGGAATTCTTTCACGGCAAAGCTGTTCCCTGGCAGCATCTCAACAGGTCATTTTCCAACCAGGTGCCCCGTTGTGTCACTCAGAAAACATCCCTACACAGAAGGAAAAATCCAAAGTAAGACACCGACCGTCGGAACACACACCCCAAATACCGCGGCGCGGGCGCTCCCTCGCCACGCCCGGGCCCCGAGAGCCGCTCCCGCTGCCGGGCTCAGCCGCCGCCCCACGGCCGGCACGGCGAGGGCCGCGCCGCCACTCCCCGCGGCAGCTCCCGCGGCCTTTCCTCCCTGCCCGGCGCCATCCCCAGCCCTCACAGGCTGCCGGGATTCGGGCAGGCTCTCCGCACATCCCATTGCAGAGCCCTGCGTGCCTCCAGCCCTCCTTTTCTGGGGGCGGGAGGGGCCCCTGGGAGCGCCGAGCTCCGCCCCCGCCCCGCGGGCCTGACGTGAGGGGCGGGCCCGGGGCGGCGCCGCCGCGCTGTGCCCGGTGCGGGCGGCTCTGCCGGCGCTCCGGGGTGCTCCCCTCCGCCGGCCGAGCGGGGCGGCTCTCGCGGGAGGCGGCGCCATGGGGCTGCACGGCGTCAAGGCGGTGTTCTTCGACCTGGACAACACGCTGATCGACACGGCGGCGGCGGGGCGGCGCGCCATCGAGGAGGTACTGCCCTTGTCCCCCTTCCGACGCGGGGCCCGCGGCTCCCGGCCCGCTCTGCGGGGCCGCGCGTGTCCCGCTCCCTCCCCGCTGACAGGCGGCCGGGCGCCGCTCCCGGGAGCGCGCCGCGCGGCCCCGCAGCGCCCTGACGCGCGCCCCCGCGCCCCTTGCAGGTGATCAGCGCCCTGCAGTCCAAGCACCACTACGGGGAGCGAGAGGCCCGCGCCGTCTGCGATAAGGTCCAGGCCAAGCTCCTCAAGGAGTGCCACGATCCCGCCAAGATGTGCATCACAGACCTGCGGATTTCGCACTGGGAGGAGGCGATCCAGGAGACCATCGGGGGGGAGGCGAACCGCGACCTGGCGGCCGAGTGCTATTACCTGTGGAAGACGACGCGGCTGCAGCACCTGACGCTGGCCGAGGACACGCGGGCCATGCTGACCGAGCTGCGGAAAGGCCTCCGCCTGCTGCTCCTCACCAACGGCGACCGCCAGACGCAGAGGGAGAAGATCGAGGCGTGCGCCTGCCAGCCCTACTTCGATGCCATCGTTGTGGGGGGAGAGCAGAAAGAGGAGAAACCGGCGCCGTCCATATTTCATTACTGTTGCGATCTCCTGGGGGTGCGGCCCGCAGAGTGTGTGATGGTCGGTGACTCTCTAGATACAGATATTCAAGGAGGCCTGAATGCTGGCTTGAAAGCAACAGTCTGGTTAAACAAAGCAATGACTGCCCCAGTAGATATCTCCCCTGTACCTCATTATATTATTGCTTCTGTACTGGATCTTCCAGCAGTGTTACAGAAGATGGAGCACAACACTAATGCTAAGTTAGAAACTGACCATGTGGGTAGCAGAAATGAAGCACATTGATGATGGTTCCAGCATACAGAGACCTGCTGAGCTGTTAGGTGACAGATGCTCTTTTTAAAAGTCTGACCCTAGGAGTTTGAACTCATCTGTGGTCTCTTTTAAACAGCAGAGGGATGAATAAGAGCACAGTTGTCAGTGAAAACCAGACAGAAGCACAGAATTATATTAATTTAAATGATGCAAGTGCAGTTAAAGGTACTGCCTCTGTCTGGAAATTATTTTGACAGACTGTGACAGAAGTTTGTCTGTCTCTGACTGAAGTTGCCAGTCTCTTGTATGTATAGTGGAAAAGAAAATTTGAATGTTCTGAGCTTTCACATGCTTTGCTGATTTGTAAGCTTGGTAGAAGCTTCAGTTCTGACCTTGTGTGCAGGGTGTAAGGGAAAGTGAGAGAGTGTGGTAAATCTGGTAAATCCTCACAACTGATCTACAGTTTATCTCAGGAACTGGAGTGAATTTTATTATTTCTCAGACTATTAGAAATGCTCTACCTTTGATCTTTTTTACAAGTTTTAGAATTTTTTTCAGACTTTGCAGTGGTTTTTCTTTTATGGAACTTGTATCTCTTGCCAAAACTACTTAAACATACATCAAAAATTTGCTTTTTTATCGGGGACCATTAATCAGAGGGACTTGATGAATAAGCTTCTACTTTGTAATATCTTGGTGTTTATGCAGATATGCAGTATACTGGTAATTCAGATTATGATTTTTGTTGAAATGGATAAAATAGGGATATTTTAAATAGTGCTACTGTACTGTCAGACTCTTCAGAAGCTAATATCATTGTTCTGTCTGATTTTATCAGTGAATTTTGATAAGACTTCTTGGAGAAACTGTTCTTGGTCTTGCTGGGGTGTATGACTACTCAGATTCAACTGTAGGACCAGTGGCTTTCCTGACTGTTTTAATGGCACTGCTGTATAATCCCTCCTTACTCCAGTTTGCATGTGTAATTCATGTGATTTGTTCTGGAGAAAATACAAGCTAGTTGTCTGTAAATGGCTCTCATTACTTTCTTCCAGGAAACTGGAAAATTATGTCCTATGTATTAGTACTGTATACAACTTTATAAGGTATATGTGGTATTTCCACTACATGTAGGAAACAGTAAGGTTTCTCTTTCCCAGATCATTACATTATTATTTTTTCTGTGCCTCATATTCTTACTACATAAATATTTCCACTACATGTAGTAGACAACTCTCTAAAACAGTAAGATTTCTTTCCCTTTCCCAGATCATTACATTATTTTTTTTTTCTGTGCCTCATATTCTTACTACATAATGGGGAAGTACTCTCATATTAAATGGAAATGTAAACACCTGTTGGCAAGTCTGTGGTTTTCAGCCCTATTTGCTATATATTCACCAGGATGAGTATCAGACCATATATGAGAAATCAAATTTTATATTTTAGAATAATTCCATGACAGATCTTTTGAGAACAGGGGTTTTAGGCTACTGGCAGAAGAGTGTCTGGCATGTGGGCAGCAATTAGAAGTACAGAAACCCACTATGAAATGGGTGTGTAGAAGAAATCCTATATACTAAAAACATTCATGTCAAATTAAACAAAGGGACCTAAGTTAATGCAGTTAAGTCTTGCATAGGATGACAGTCAGTTTAGAGAAGGCTGTTATTGGTTTGGGTTAAATTATTTGACAAGTAGTTTAGGTTGGATCAAAATATGTTGCTCCTACATTGAGGAGGGGGAAAAAAAGAAAAGAAATATTCACTAAATTTGGAACCCCTTTCCCAGTTGTCCATTAGAAAAGGTAAAGCAGCCCACATTCCTTGTCTTACCTGGCCAAGACTGTTGAGACATCAGGTCAAGGAAGAGTACAGACACAGACCCCACCTGTTCCTTTGAGGAAATGGGCATATACTGAAAACAATCCAATTACAGTAGACAGTAACATGAACCAGTGGCACTGACTTGTCACATCTTCTGAAGGAAGAGGCCTAAATTAAGACTTTGGTTTGCATTTGAAGGGCATGGAAGCAGTCACTGGTTTAGCTGATGAGCAAAGCATTTCTAATAACATTCCTTAGAACTGGTGATTGAGACAAGAATAATAAAGATCATTTAGCCTGTCAGGGATGCTGTGTAAAAATGGATAAGTATCCAAAATATTAGAGGGATCCCTGAAGTAATCTAACCATACCATCTAATACAAAAGCAACAACTTTTCTTACAACAGCATCCCAAAGGAGCTACAGGGTAACAGGCTCTGCCTTGTTTGCACAGCAGCAGGGTAGTAGAACTTAGGTCAGAATGAGGTTTCTCATAAGCTGATATTTAAAATAACAAACAGTAGTAACTCACAAGTCTGTCTGTGGAGACAGAAGGAGATACAGATACATAAATATATAGGTGTATATTGCACCAGGTTACCATTTTTAAATCTAGGTTGAGGCTCATATTCTCTTGCCACTGCATCATTCTGAAGTGGCATGCTGAGCCTGCTTATTGTATAAAGGGTCTCTTGTTTTAGAAGAGACTGCTCTTTGTTTTGCACATGGCCAACCATTTCTTTTCATCTCTGTCTCTGAAAAACCACAGAAACTGCACACTCAGGTGACAGTGGGGTCTCTAGAGGCCACACCTGAGTATATTTTTCATTTTTGAGTTCTGTACCAGGCTGAATGTGGCTACTGGTGTCCAGAGAGGGAAACACCATTATGATGCTTCTATAAAACAAGGAGAAACAATACAAGACTTTTCTCTATCTAGGGCCATTCTTAAAAGCAGTTACCCAATAAGCTGGGTTAGGTGTCTGGAGTATCTCTAAACACTCAAGATGTTTCTCTTAGATAGAGCTGTTGCAGAAAAGATAATGAAAAATAATTATATCTAGTAAATTGGAAACATAAATGTAACGTTGGGATGATTTTCACACCAGAAGCGGGAACAAAACAATTAAACAGTCTAGTAACAGTTCCCATTAAGTTCTGGGTTTGCTTAGTGTTATGCTCTATTAGATAAATTTTCTAGTATACACTATATTGCCAAAACACACAAAATAAAAGGAGGAAAAGGAAATTCCATCTATAATTTTTAAAACTTATTTTTTCCAGATAAATATTGCCTCCTGAGGTTAATCTACAGTAACTTTGACTTCATTGAAATGAACTGAAACAGTAGTTTAATACCAACTGTATGCTAATCCTTGATTTAAAATAATCCATGTACTAGTCAATAAAAGTATTTTGTTTATAAAATGTATGTTTGAACACTCTGAATTGCTGTGGATAAATACGTTTGAGACCTGATTTACAACGAGGGGCAAGAGTTCTGTTTGTTTTTTAAAATAACACAGAATTAGGATATGAAATCCGTGACTTCATGTTTAGATGTGGTGGCTGGGTGTAGTTTCTGTCATTTCAAACAGAGGCTGGATCATAATTACGTGTTCATGAAGATTCATGGCCAGACTGTGTATGTTGAATTGCCAGCTGCAGTTCAGTGGTAGTTGAACCTGACCTGCCAAGCTGAATGCCAGCTCGCATAAGCCTACGTGTCCTGACATCATGGCACTGGCTGCTGCATAAGAACACACTGCAAGCAGAGAAGATCAGTAAATACAGAAATCTCAAGTCCAGGGCACCCATTTTGGCAGGTTATGGGTGCACAAAGCCACATCTGAGCTGCTGCTACACTGACCTCCGTGACTTAGGAGAAGGGCAGAGTGGGAGGTTGCTCACCTTGTAGCTTTTTTGGCTGCAAAAAAGCAAGCTGCTCCCTTACTGTTTTCTGTTGGGTAATGGAACAAATAGTCCATCTTCTGGACCTGTGGAAATAGGTACAGATAGGTAGAAAGTCACTGCAGATAAGAGTAGGACATTAAACACAGTAAAAGAGGGCTCAGCTTCTATCACAGGCACTTGGCCATGCCAGCAAGCTGTCTGCAGCATCACACACCTGCACAGCAGAACTTTCTGTTCTTGTGTATGTAAGGCATTAAGCTGGACAGTGACAGCCTCAGAAGTGAGGGTGTTTTCTTAGAGAGAAAGTGACCTGAATGTTTTATACAGGAAACAAGCACCTTTCATTAGAGTACTAAATTAATGCAAAGAGGTAAGATGTTTGGATTAAAGTTAAGGTTTTCCTACTCCCTGCAGCGTAAGATTTTCTTATTTCCCGAAAGAGAGACAACAGACAACTTGCTGTGCCTCAGCTAACCACAACCAACTCAGTTTGTGTTTTCCTCTGAAGTTTCTCTTACATGACACTAGTGTTAGGGCTTTGAACTGAATTGAAGTGGTCTGGCCCATCACAGCAATTTCTCCTCTTCACATATGTAGCAATTTATTTTTCAGCTTCGGCTCTAAAATGTGCCAGGTTATTGTGAGGCCTTTAAAAAACAATTTAAAATCCCACCTTAATTCTATACTACCAAAACTTGTCATCTGGAAATCATTTGAACATGTTGAGGAGTACGACAAAGAGAAAGGTGATGTATCTGTGCTGTACGTAGCATATACTGTTCTTTTGTGCACGGCTTTTGCCATCAGCCTTGCAGTGGGATTGTCTCCATTATACCCTGCTTTCCAGATCATGCTGTGCACATACAAGAGACACAACAATGCAGAGATGATGTCAGCTGTGCCTAAAGCTAAAACTGCAACTTTTTCCCTATGTTGCTAGGGACCCAGAACAGAGAATCACACTGTCTGCTCCTATATCATATTTTGACCTTTCATTTCATCTGCTAGAAACAAGGTTGCATGAGAGCCTTCTGCTGAACAGCCCTCAAATGCCAGGGAAAAAAATGTACTTTAAATATATGAAATTAATCTATGGTGTTAATATATGAAATTGCAGTTCTTCAAGAGTGCAAGCCATGTTTCTCAAGCCAACACTTCGCCGAAGACCAGAAGATAATGTCTCATAGGGTCTGATTTAACATGGGAAATATATTGTCATTTGCATCAGTGGACCTTCACAAATTTAAGTAAGATTTGCATGCTCATTTCTGTAAGATAATCTGCAAGTGACATCTGCTTTCCACTTCTCCTTCCTCAGCTTATTCATCTTCATCAACTGTTTTGTCAGCTGCATTTCCATATCTTTCTGAATCACAACAATATCTAGTATTTGGGATGAAGTTGGCAGAGGACCACAATAAAAACCACTGGAACACAGCCATCTTCTGATGCAAGGTCATTTTAAATATCAGCTTCACAGCAACTGTGTGCTGCAAGTATGTATATGTTTTAAATGATCTTTCCTGCAAACACACTTCCATTCATCTCACACAGACTAGGCAAATTTTTCATTAAAAAAAAAGAAAAAACCTAAAAATGTTGGGGGTAAAAAAACAAAATAGAAAAAAAGCACCTCCAAACAAAATGTCTTAGTCATCTACAGACTCCCTGAGGCAGTGACCTTTCAGTGAAACAGAAAGGTCCAGTTGGAAGTGAAACCATTACATGTCAAAACACATCAACTACCAAGTATATGTTTATTAGTTCTTCTCTGAGTGTTAAGAGTCTCAGTAAATTCTTTTATTCTTCTCATTAATTAGGCCAATGAGTAGCCTCAAAGTTACTGTGCTGTTTTCATCTGCTTACTAATGTGTTGTAGGTCCTCTATTTGATAAAGTCAGGCTTAACAGTTTTCATTTGTGCTGCTAGTGGAGTGGTCTTTGCTGTTAATGATGTGGCCTGTTAAATTGCACTGGGGTTAGGATTTATCAGGAAGTCTGCAGTGGATGGACTGACAGCCTTTGTTTTCCCAACTGTTGATGCCTTCCATTGTGTTTTGTTACAGACTTTTAAATGAGAAGGGTCCTGAATGTTCCAAGTCCTTTTTTTCCTTTCAGGAAGAAAATGCATAACCGACACAAACAGCTTGTTTATTTTCCTTTCAGTAAATGTAACTGGGTAAAAATACTTTTCTGCTTCCATCCCTCTCATCTGAAAGTACTTTAAAAGTGCCTAACAACTTGATGTCTAAGCTACTTTGATATATTTATTATCTTTATCCTGATACTTTGTTATACATTGTAGTCTGTTTAAAAAACTGCCTCTGCTACTGTTGCAGCCAGAGGTTCATCTTACTACTGTATAATTATAATTTTACACTGTATTTCTAGGCTGTATCTCAAAATGAAAACAAGTGCCTACTTTAGAGACACTTTGAGGTAAATCTATCTAATTCACAGTT